AAAAAAAAAAAAAAAAAAAAAAAAAAAAAAAAGATTTCACGTAATTATTATTTAACTTGTCTTTATTTTCTTATCTATAAAATAACAATAGCGCCTAACAGTGCTGACATCAGTATTAAGTGATTTAGTACACGATACACATATAGTTACTGATGTTATTTTTTCATTTGCTATTTTGCCACTTATAGCAAAGAAACTATAAGCCAAAGACTTCTATTCCGCCAAGTCGATGCTCAAGTATAAAGGCTATAGACAAATTTTATGAGTGTTGAAGAAGCCAGGGATACTGTAATGAACTATTCCTTTGGGGTATATTAGAAAATTAGCTTCAGATCATCAAAATGGCTAAAGGAAGCAAGATAATAAAAGCTGGTGTCTCTGGACATCAATAGCTCTAACATCACAAAAGAGAGGGGATCATACACTAGGTCTTTCTGAATGCAGGAGCCCAGTGCTCTGTGCAGGGCAAGAGAGTCCAGAGAACTGAACCTTGAGGTGGTGTGCATGGTGCAGAGGGCAAGGTTATTTTCTACATGGTACACTCAAGGGTGATATGGTTCTGGTGGACAGGGCATTCGTGTCTTCCTGAGCTCTGGATTTATTACTGAAACATGAAAAGCTGGGTCAAGCATTTGAAGATACCAGGTTACTAGGCTGGTCTGGAACTTAGAATCCTCCTGCCTCAGCCTCCCACAGTGCTGGAATTACAGGCATGTGCCACCACACCTGAACATTGCTGTGGACTTCTCTTTGGAGCGAAATATTCACTAACCTCTGCAAGGAATAACTGAAAGTCAGTTGGTACAGCCTGCTTTCTTCCAGCAAAAGCGAGGAAGGGGCAGGGAGAAGCTGTGACTGTTCGAGCACCTTCACGAATCCCCATGCAGTTTCCATGGCTTCCTATGTTCAGAGGGTAGATAAGCCCAAACTCCTTTCAGTTGGTACCCCAAAATGAAGGAAAACTTGCTGATCTTTGGGGGAAAAGAAAAGGCAGCCAGAAGATCATCCGTGACTTACCAGAAACTGGGCAGAGCCCAAAGGCCTTACTGAAGGGCTGGGGAGGTAGCAAAGTCTGGAGAAAGCTCCTCTACCGATTTGGTGATGCTTCCCTGGGACTGGCTCCCATTTAGTGCTTGGAGAAAGAGATCTTCCATTCACAGTACGATCGGCCTGCTCAGAAATATCTGTCTGAGCAACTGGAATGCAAGTTACAACTACGAATATGCCAGTTACCATGAGCCAAAGCATCCTGATTGCTACTTGCTCAGCTCTGTTTTCTTGGTGTCAGAAAATCCCACCCCCCACCCCACAGTAGTGGGGATCTAATCCAGCACCTTCGCATGAGCTATATTCCTAGCCCTGTTTTTCCAGTTTTGAGTCACTGAATTGTCCAGGGTGGGCTTGAACTTGCAATCCTCCTGCCTCAGCCTTCCAGAGTGCTGAAATTTTAGGCATACAGCACCACCACACCTGGCTAGGATTTTTCTCTTCAAGCAAATACAGTCATAGTGTCCACATCCATGGATTCCACCACCTGTGGATCAGAACTATTTGAAAAAAAATGTGACTGAACTGAACTGAACTTGTACTTTCTGATGCAGTTCTGGAAGTCCTCTTTCATGAGTGTCCTCACCAGGTATGATCTAAAGTATGGGCCAAGTGCCATCCAGCAGAAAGATGGCCTCATAAAAATGTGACAGGATGTTCTTATCCACCTTGTTTATCAGATCTGGCACCGTGCCACTTCTGGTTTAGTCAAAATGACCTCGAAAGGTGAATGGTTTCAATCAATCCAGAATATCAAGGCAGTCATCACTGTGCAACTAAAAACATGAGGGAGGACTCCAGAACAGCTTCAGAAAGTAGCAAGCCTGATGGGATAAGTGTATTTTAAGAGGAAAGTATACTGAGGAGGATTAATGGCAATGTGTTTTACTGTAATTAAAAAAAAACAAATTACATTCACCATATATTTTGATCATGCCTCATGTAACTAACATGGGAAATTTTGACCAAGAACAGTGTGTGGCTTCAAATCATTAAGCCCCGTTTGAAAGTGCTGGCTAAATGTCACTGGTCTTATTGTTCTCGATATAACCACTCTCTTTTAGTTTTTGTCTTTGTCTTTCTTTCTTCCTCTCTTTGCAGGGTCTCACTATGTAGCCTCTGCTGGCCTCAAACTTGTGATCCTCCTGCCTCAGCTGCCTTCTTCTACATTAACAGTGCCAGATAGGGAACAGACAAATCAAAACTACAGTGAGATTTCATCTCACCCCGGTGAGACCGGATGTCTTCAAGAATATAAAATACAATAAATGTCGACGAGATGTGGGGAGAGGAATCCTTCTATACTGACGGTAGGAATGTAAATTAGGAGAGCCCCTGTGGAAATCAGTATGTAGTTTCTTAGAAAAAACCAGAAGCAGAGCTACAGTTTGATCCAGCTATACCACTCGTGGCTGTAAATCTGAAGCGATTAAAGCCAGCATACTATAGGTATACCTATATACATGTTTGGTGGCACAATTCGCAGTAGCTAAAGTATGAAACCAGTGTAGGTGCCCATTAACAGATGAATAGATAAAAATATTTTATTTATACATAACAGAGTACTACTCTGCTATAAAGGAGGCCAGATTGGACTCATTGTAAGGAAAACGGTTACACCTTGAGACCATAATGTTAAGTGAGATAAATCAGACACATGAGCTTAAATATGCGCATGGTTTCTCTTACATGCGAAACCCAAAGTTAAATTTAAGGTTAAAGTTAAGAGTAAAATAAAAGACGAGAGGAAACGGGGACAGATCTTTTGCAAAAAGAATGGGGAAAAAGAGATGAGGAGGGGAAGTGGGGAGCAGAAGGAGACATAAAAAGAATTGAGATGTGTTATGCACACCAACTTCCCTCGGTGAATGTGATCATTGTGTACGGCGAACATGTACTAATAAAGACAGAAACAGAAAAGAAAATTGAACCTAATTCTAACAAGGATAGAAACCTAAGACAGATGGAGAGCAAGTAGAGTGAAAATCTGGATGCATCCAGGTGCCCGCTTCCAAGAATTGGGGCAAGACAGGAGTGAGGCGTGATGGAGAGGCTCCTGGGGGAGGCCACCTTTCAGTGAACACTTGAGCGCTTCTGATTGTTAGTGCCCTCCTACCTCCTCTGACCTGTGAATCATGAAATTATCTTTTTCCTTAATTCTGGTTCTTAGAGGAAGAAGACTGAGTTAATCACACAGCTCAATTCCTAGCACGTTCTCCTCATTCGTCTGTGCAGTGTCCTTCTCCTGTTTTATTTATTCCTTATTAACCCCATTTCCTACTCGCCCCCTTCACCTCCTACAAGCAAGCATTCTCATCTCGTTAATGTGGTTTTGCTTGTCAGGTTCTTAGGAAACAGGTACCTCTGTGTGCAAGTTTTTCTAACCTATGTCATGCTGTACGTCTTAGCCTTGAGAATCCTGCTGAGGCAGCCATGTTGCAATGCGCACGTCTGAGCTACTGTTTCCCTCTGCTGCACAGAGCTCCGTGCACCCCTCCTCTCCCTGCCCAGGGCCCGACTCCCCAGTCACTCCCACTTGCCACACCAGGCTTCCTGTTTCACTGGACACTGCACGAGCATCCCACAGATCCGAGACTATTGTAGTATGGAAAGGAGTTTGAGACCACCCAATGCTCATTCAGTGGTAATGAGTATTTACTGCATGTTATGGTACCAGGCACTGTTTTATGTCTTAGGCTTATAATGGGAAACAAGATAGACAAGGTCCTCGCTCTCACAGAGCTCACATTATTATATACAGAAACTGACCAGTTTTCTAGGTAGTAAAAGCACGTTTACTACCTGGGAGGACGTCCAAGAGAAACAGGGAGGCCAGCAAGAAGGCAGGGAGGGCAGATGGAGATGAGAGGTGAGGAACAACTGTGTTAGTTGTCTACTGCTATGTAACATTATTCCCACAAATCCAGCAGCTGAGAACAATGGATTATCTCACGGTTTCTATGGACCAGGAGTCCAGGCACAGTTTAGCACGGTCCTCCTAGGCTGCAATCAAGGTGTGTTGACCAGGGCAGGATTTTCAACCGAGGCTCTGTTTCCAAGCTTGAGGAGCTGTTGGCAGAATTCGTTTCCTTACAGGCCGCTGGACTGAGGGCTCAACTTCTTGCTGGCATCAGCTGGAGTTTGCCTCCATTCCCACCATAGCTGCTGGCTTCCTCAGAGCCAAGGAAGGAGGGCGATTTCCAGCACGACAGGTTGTGACCATGAAACGTTACCACAGAAGTGGTGTCCCATCACCTCTGCTAAGTTCTAGGTTAAAAACAGACTCAGGGCCTGCCCACTCATGGGGAGTGGGGATCCACAGGGGTGAATATCAGAGATGGGGTCAAGAGGTTCATCCTAGGGCTGTCAGAGAGGTTGGGGACAATTTACCTCATGAGTGACACCTTTAAAAAAGGTTTTTCTTTTGGCACTGTGGATTGAACCTGAGGCTTCCCACAAGCTAAGAATATTTTCTGAGGTATACCCCTCGTCCTTACCATCTTAAGTGGTACGAATTTTGTTTTCCCCTAAATAGGGTAGAAAACCATCAGGAGTTTTGAGCAGGGGTTTCTATAAGAGTTAATATTGTTAAATATTACTCTGTTTCAGCGTCTAGGAGAAATTACAGGTGGACCAGCAGGGAAGCAAGAAATCCAAGGTGGCTGTGGCCAAATCCTTCCTAGGAGACGGTGGCCTGGCTTCAGGGTTCGTGTAGATAGAGAGGAGTGGACAGAACTGCTAACAGCTTGGTTCACCACGGGACTGTTCCCTGGAAAGTTCAGTTGTTTGAGTTCACAAACTAGTTTTGGAAGACCCAGAGGTAGACTTGCCATCCTGGTTCGTATCCAGCTCTTTCCGCTGTCCCTTTTACAGATGCCACGACACAGACCGGGCATTCTCTGTACTCACTCTCACTTCCTGCTCCCCACGCTCACCTTCAAACTTTGCTTTAAGCGGACAGATGGATACATGCACACAGAGCATGGACTGCTTTGAAGAAGAATCAGTGTTGCTCTCGCTCTAAAAGATGTTTTTAGAATCGGTAACATTAAGGGTGATAGTGCTAGGCAGGGCCAGCAGAAGCAATTCCCTGTCTTGGAGAGATGATGCAAGGGAGCCCTAGAATTTACGCTACTGTATACACAGTAACACCCATGACAATGCAGCCCCAGCACTGCAAAGTACATGAAGGGAGACATTTCCTTTTTGGTATCGGGGTTCAATCTTGGGTCCTTGCTCTTGAGAGGCAGGAGGTGGAACCACTGAGCTAAATCCCCAGCCCAGGGCCATCTTCTTGATGTGCACTCTTTTGAGATGTAGGTTATTAGTTTTCTAGAGTAGGTAGTGGCGTAACAGTGGAAATTGCCTTTATAAAAATGACTGCCAATTACTGAGCAGTATATGCCAGGCAATGTGTAGGTAGGTACCTTACATCTGTTAACTCGTGAGACCATCAAAATGCTGCCAGGAATTATCTTATTTTACAGGTAGTAAAACTAAAGTTCTAAGAAGCCAACTTGTATTAGGCTCTCACCTACCGCCCTCTGAAGTTGAGTCTCTCTCCTAGACAAAAATAATTTTCATTAATGGAGAAGTGAAGCTCCACTTAGTCTCTTCTCCCACTATGTTGTACTTCCTGGTGGCTAGGTATTTTGAAAAAAAATTATGAAGGTTTTTTTTTTTTTTGGTTTTTGAGACAGGGTCTCACTATGTAGTTGAGACTGACGTGGATCTCACTATGTAGCCTAGGTTGGTCTCGAAGATCCTACTGCCTCAGCCTCCCGAGTGCTGGGATTACAGGCGTGCACCACCACGCCCAACCTATGAAGGTTTTTTAAAGTCTGCATTTTTTTCCTATTTCTTATAAAAATCAACTTGTTTATTTCTCTTCACTATGGCTCAGGAATTAATTTGTTGTCAACTTATAGGAAGAATGTGCCTTCTCTCAGGATTCTTGCTGAGAGTAAGGGCAATATTCTCATTTTTTAAAGTAGTTTACTGAATTTATTCTGGCACAGACATCTGCTTTAAAGCTTTAATGAACACTTCATGGTTTTAAAGAGGCCAGTTTCCAACAGTCTGAAAAATATCCACACTATGATGACTGTAAAACAGATGTAGGTACATGGAGATCAAATAACGCAATCATTTCGGGGAGGTAGAGTTTGCTCTCTGAACTTCTGCTGGTACTAATTACAAACAGAATCCAAGGCAGGTACTTCAGATTAGCCAGTGGTGAAGGGACACTGAGGAGGGGAGAAGGAAGTACCACAGAAGAGGCCCCTTCCTAAATGTGCCACACCAGTCCTTCCTCTCCTCAAGAATGCTAACTTCAGAGGGACTTGATAGTGAAACACTATCAGTTAATACATTTGTTTCAATACCTGATGAAACTGTACAAACAAAACAAGTAGGGACGCAGAATTATAAATTTATGAAGACAGTAAGCCCACAAAAATATTAATCTCAAAAATTGGGAATTCTCTCAGAAATGCTGTAAAAGGGGCTGGGAGCGAAATGCTTGCCAATGAGGCCCTGGGTTTAATTTCTAGGACCACGACAAAGAAAGACAGGAATTTACTCTGAAAAATATGCCATATAGTAATTATGGCAACTTTTGTTTTTCCTACCTATAGTCTGCATTGTTCAGCTGTTTCATGAAAAATTTCTCTTAAATACTCAAAATGTAAGATGAGTGTGGTGGCAAATGCCTGTAGTCCCAGTACTTGGAGGCATGAGGCATGAGGATTGCCGTGAGTTCTAGGCCAGCATGGGCTACATAATGAGTTCAAGACCAGCCTGGACTACACAGTGAGATGGTCTCAAAAAATAAAACAAAACAAAACAAAACTGAAGGTGTGTTAAAGTACAATAGTTTTAGACTCCTCTGTTAACTCGGGGCAGGGACTACCTTCCTTTGGTTTCTTGTTATTTTTCTTGGTTGTTTCTTTCTTTGGGGTGTGGGAAGCCATCACTCTCCAACGCCAGTGAGGTACAGACTTCTATCATTCATAGTAAAATGTCTAAGGTAATTTCCTCTACTGGGTTTCACATCCTCTGGTGAATTAATCTTTCCAGTTTCAACAACGTGAAGCTGCATGAATTGTAAGTGACTATAGCACAAGCATCCCTGCAGGGATTGTAGCTTCTGCCAGACAATGCATATCGAAGATCTTCACATTTTCAAGAGATGGAAAGGCTGGCTGTTTTTGCTGAAATCAAACCATCCATTGTAAGTCTTCAGTATTTTTGTCCTTTTATTTTATTGATTTTGTTTTGCTGTTTATACCTGCAGGGTTTTTGTTTTGTTTTGTAGTTTTGAGACAGGGTCTCGCTATGTAGTTCAGGCTAGCCTTTAACTCTCTACATAGCCCATTCTGGCCTTAAAATCACAGCGATCCTCCCGTCCCAGCTTCCCAGGTGCTGGGAGTAGAGGAGTGTGCCACCACATCCGGCTGTACCTGCAACTTTTATGGAATTCCACTCAGCTGCAAGAGGGCAGGGGTTGTCTTGTCTCATATTATATCCCTACCCCAACACATAGCAGGTGTCTGGGAAATGTGTGTTAAATGAATTGAATGTACTGTTCCATCATTGATTTGAAGCATGAAGATGGCATTCTTCAAATACTGCTTCCCAAGTAGCCAGAAAAATCAAGGTGTTACAGAAAGCAAGGAATGAGGAAGGGGAAAATAAACCAAATTATTGAGAAATATGTTTTGGCAAGGACTGGGGATTTAGCTCAGTGATTCTGCCACCTGCCGCCCAAGTGCGAGGACCCGAGTTCAATACCCAGTACCAAAAGAAACAAAAGTTTTGGCAGCATGCCTTTCAGAGCAAGCCAGATTCACTGACTTTAAGATTTCCTCTGGCAAGGAAGTATTTTTACTTCTAGATGATACAGGGTCCTCACACGTTAGACAAGCACTCTATGTGGGAGCTACACTCTCAGTGCAGGACAGTTTTTTTTTTTTTTGAATCACCATTACCATCTTTCAGGAGACGTTGGTGCAATGGTATCACAATACAGTCTCCCTCAAATGTTATACTATGCTTGTACAGACTACCTTACTGAATTGAAATTTAGTTATTTTTGCTTTTGCATTCTTTCTCAATTCATTTTCACAATCCATGTTGGGAAATATATCTGTAAGGATTTATTCAGGCTCATTCCATTTTAGTGGAATATTTAGGCTCTAATGCCAGATCTGTATGCTCCAAGGTTATATTCTTGCCTGGTCTGAAAATACCACTGTAAGGCTCATTATCAGCTCAGACTATACGGCACGCATGGCCACAGTTACTTATGCCAAGGCACTGACCCAAAGCATGTGCCCTTCCTGTTTTTCCCTGGTGTGTGGTCCAGGGTGACCCTTCCAGGGTCAGGGCCTCGTTCTTTTTCTGATTATGAACAAAGACATATGCGACTTCTAATATTTTCTGGGCTTCAGATTCAAAGTTACAACCAAACATTAAGGTACATAATGTCCCCCAGGAACTGAAAAGAACAGATAATTAATGGTAAATCACTGTCTCAATAAACTCTAAAACCAAGACAAGTTTTGTGTGATTGGCCAGATTTTAAAAGAGCTTTTGCTTGGAGTCTTATTTTCCTCTGTTCTTTTCTTGCTAGTCTAAATTATTCCCATTATCATTATTTTTTAGTCTAATTTGCTTTTATCAGCACCGTGGGGACAGGATCTAAAACAATTCTACTGGGTGAAATAGTTGGATAAGTGTTGAGGGTGAAATTTTTGCAGTGTGCCTGTGTTTAACCCGTTCAGGACAGAAAACGACTTTTCTTTCAGAAACGGATATATCTCTAGCCTTTCTCTTGTAAGACCTTACAGAGATTTTTTTCTTAGCAGCCCCGACTGCTACACAGGAGCGAGGTGAGGCACACAGACGCCTAGGCACACTCGCTGCTGAAGGGTGCAGGGTCCCCGTCGGCTTCCGGGCTGCTCTGTGCTTGGGGGCCGAGACCCTCGGGGGGACGCAGATTCTTCTCCGTCCTTACCCCGTGCCCTGCAGCTCACGCGTGCCCACGAAAAACGCGATCTGAGGCCAGTTATCCGACAGCCCACAGAAGCGCGCAGCACCCCTGGACGGAAGACACCTGCTCACTGCCGCACGGCCGGGACAACCGACAGCCGGCTCCGCAGACCGCCGCGCACGCGCGTACCGGCTGACCTCTGGCCCCTGCGGGGGCTGGAAAG